ATATTACTTGCTTACTATATCGCCGTTTTGTCTTTAACCTATACTATATAGCGCCGTAACGGATAATTATATATAGTTATACGGGGTTCTAGGACAACACCCCCCGACATCACCCTCGACCAATACTCCGGACATTTACCCCTCAGGACATTTAGCCCCAGAAATTACCCCGCGACATTAAAGCCCCGGAAATTACCCGCGGACATTTATCCAGCGGACATTTACCGCCCGGCGACAATTACTACACTTGTTGTTTATTATTAACTTGTTAAACAGTGATAAAGGGAAGGAGGTCGAGGAGATAGGGAGAAGGTGTGGAGGAGAGAGGGGGAGAAGGTGGAGAGAGGTAGTGGAGGAGGTTGGGAGAAGGTGTGGAGGAGGAGAGGGGGAGAAGGTGGAGGAGGAGAGAGGAAAGAGGAGGGAAGAGGAGGTGGAGGAGAGGGAGGAGGTAGAGGAGGGACCTCCATCTTTCTCCTCCTCGCTGCCATCACATTGCCCCTCCGCTCCTCAACCATACTGCACTGCTCTACCCTCTCTAATCTCCTTCTCTCCCCCTCCTAAGATCCTCCTCCTCACCTCTCCATCACTATTTCTCGTAGTCCTCTAACTCCTCTGCTAAATGACCGGGGGGTATGACCGCGGGGTATTGTCGCCGGGGGGTAAATGTCGGGGGTAATTGGTCCAGGGGGGGTAATTGTCGGGGGGTAATGTCCGGCGGGGTAATTGTCCGAGGGTAATGTCCGGGGGGTAAATGTCCGGGGGAATCATTGTCCGGGGGTAAAATGTCGGGGATAGATTGTCCCGGGGTTAAGTGTCTGGGGTAAATGTCCAAGGGGTAAATGTGCCGGTGGATAATGTCGCGCGGATAATTGTCCGGGGGGTAACGTGTCCTGGGAGGTCAATGTGGGGGTAAATGTCGGGGGGTAATTGTGCCGGGGGAGTGATTGTCGGGGGTGCTTGTCGGCGGGGTAATTGTCCGGGGGGTGAACGCATGGGGGTATTGTCTGGGTATTGTCGCGGGGGTGATTGTCGCGGGGGGTATTTGTGCTGATACAATATAATATATATAAAAAAATTATATATGCTCACGGCTAAATGGAAGCGTGTCGGTGTTTGAAGTCTGGCGGCAAATTTGCGAAGGGCTGTAACTCGATCAGCTGAGTAAGGTGAACGAGGGAGTCTCTCTCTCTCTCTCTCTACGAAGCAGGGAAAGTGAGATCGATGTTTCTGGGGTGCGTCTGTGGTCCAGGGGGCGTGGTGGCTCTGTGTGTGTGTGTGGGGGGAGCGGTAATTGTGGGAAGAGCCCGTAAAGGGCGTGACTGCTGCGTGGGGAGAGCGGTGATTGTGGGGAAGAGCCCGTAGAGGGCGTGACTGCTGCGTGGGGGGGGGGAGCGGTAATGGTGGGAAAATCCTGGATAGGTTATTACAGATTCTAACTACTCTATCACTTATAATACGCCCCACAGAATGTTCGGGAATACGTATCACAGTTGATGTCCTCATATCTATTACAATTCCCTTCACGCGCGGTGCTTGTATGTAACGCCATATATTACGTCGTATCATTCCTTACTCCTTAATATAACTCCCTCTCTTTACTAATTCTCCCATCCCCCTTATCCTATATCTGCACTTCCCTTCTCTTCTCATTCTCCCTCCACTCACTCTACCCTCCCCCAGACCATACCGTCCCCAGCTTCCTCCCGTTCTTTTTCCCCTTCTTCTTCCTACTTTGTTCCTCATTTCCTGTCCCCTGCCGCTTCGCTCCTCTACCCTCCCCCTTCCGGTTCCTCCTTGCCTTCTCTCCCCCTTTCCCTCCACGCACACCCACACCTCACCCTCCTCTCTCCCTCTCCTTCCCCGCACACTCTCACCTCCCCCTCTCTCCCTCTCCCTCCCCCCACGCACACCTCCCCCTGCCGACGCCCTAGCTCAGGTAAGCTAGCACGCAGGCAGTGAGCGGCAAAGCAGCTTTTTTCCTCTGATCCGTCCTGCACACACGGCCGGCGACCGTACTAATACACCCATACACCATTCACTGTGACGCGCCCACAAATCATACTCCACCAAGCGCCGTACAGGCACGCACACGCACGCACGCGCACCGTACGCACACGCACGCACGCACACGCATACACGCATACAGACGCACGTACGCATACATGCACGCACACACGCACCCGCACACGCGCACACGCACACGCACACGCACACGCACACGCACACGCACACGCACACGCACACGCACACGCACACACACACACATATATATAAATATAGATATATAGATATATATATCCCTCCCCCGTTTTTCTGCCAGGGCTACAGCCCTGCACGTGAAGTGATATTGAGCTCGTACCTCTACGATCGCATCACAGTCTTCGACGGTGAAGGCGACATCTTTGACACCATCCCCGTGCTTCACCAGGTGATCTCCGTATTCTGTGAGACAGACACATGAGCACTGTCAGTCAGCGACACGATGGAAGAGAAGCGTGGAGGAGGTGAGCGCGTGCGGTATCTGAATAAGCCACCAGTAATACAGCATGCATATGGAGGGAGAGTGGGAGAAAGAGGTAGCGAGTGAGCGGGAGAGAGAGAGGGGCGAGAGAGGGAGAGAGAAGGGAGAGGAAAAGTGAGAAGGCGAGAGAAAGAGAGAGAAAGAGAGAAAAAGAGAGAGAGAGAGAGAGAGAAAGAGGGGGATGAGGGGAAAAGAACCACAGAGAAGACAGAGGATGGAAGAGAGGGAGGGAGGATTCGAAGAGATAGAGAGTGAGAGAGAGAGTGGGAGAAAAGGAGAGAAAGAGGATAACTTTAATCTGCTATGTCCCGAACACAATGAATGCTCGGGGAAGGATTTTGATTCTATTTATATAAAGGAATAGAAAGAGACAGGCTTTACGAAAAGATGGAGTATCACACAATTTCACTCAAAATGATTCTGATATAATCTAGACAAGTCCACGACTGAGACCGTGATTGTGCTGATGCGTTGAGAGCCACAACGAAGGACCGAGGTGACAACAATCTACTTACTACGTCAAAGTCTTCGGTTACAGTGATCTTGGCCTGTTTCAGCTGCTCTCTCAAGGCATTGTAGTACGTGTCAGGAACTCTCAGGAAGTGCATGCCACGCTTCTTTAGGTTGGTGATCTGTTAGGAACATGTGCATAATCAAACCTCCAGGGGCGTGTACAGGATTTGTACCAGGGGTGGGTCTAACCGCAACCCAAAGTTGCAAGCACGTCTCCTCAGGGTCTGGGGAAATTTTGATCTAAAATTTTGATCTGAAATTTTTCTAGAAAAATTTTGAAATTAGACCCCATTAGATGCGTTTTCTGCACGAGCAGGGGGTGGGGGTCTGGACCCCCTGGACCCCCCCTCCCCTGTACACGCCTCTGAACCTCAGCTGTACCAGCAGCACAGGATGCACTGGATAGAATACAATGACCTAGCTGCTACTGTATTATTTTGTGATGGAGTAATGTATTGTGCTGGACTCATGTGTACAGCTAATGGCAATGATTGTGGTGCCAACAAGACTATCAAAGTATGTCTCTTCACGCAAAGCCTAACTAAAAACTACAAATCAACAACAAACTACAGTAAAAAAAAAACAATAATCAATCTTCAAAGCAAATTAACGACGTTATATTAATCTACAGTTAAGGCACCATACATGTCTATAGTTAAGCGATGCGGAGTGTGTACTTACGGAGCTGATGATGTCATTTGTGTTAAGAGCGATGTGCTGAATACCGGCACCACCGTAGTAGTCAACAAACTCCTGTCAATAGATATATAATGCAATATATAATAATATATTGTTTTATAATAATATGTCATATGTATAACGGATACACGTAACAATGTAGATGGATGCACAATAGTTTCCACGTTGACTGAATGGCATGTTTGTCCCTGGATTGCTTTCAGAATGTCTTTTGGTGTTTACCTTTGCAAAATCCATCTACCTGTATCTGGCTCTTCCTTACATTGCACACACCCACCTGTATCTGGCTCTTCCTTACATTGCACACACCCACCTGTATCTGGCTCTTCCTTACATTGCACACACCC